TCTAGTCCAGCGGTTGCTTCTCACAGCAGCCTTTCAATGGCACAAAGAAACCCAATAGTCTCTCAGCAGATGGCCTTCAAGGCTAATCTCCATTGATCCTCAATGATTAAGGCTATTACTTATAAGCAATAAATAGAAGTCAGATAATAGATTTTGACTGAACATTGGGAGAAATTGTTTTAATGGTGAGAACTGGTTGACAGTGACACTGTCTCCTTCGTGAGGCAGTAGGTGCTTCTCTGGTGGAGTAGGTGTTATGGTTTGGCCACATGTAGCTTAATAATATGACTACAGAAACATCTTGCCTTGTGGATTTTGTCTTGCACAAGGTGGGACAAGCTTATCTCTAAATCTAAAACTCATCCGTTTCTACGAATTGAATTTGACTTAATCTGCCCTACAATTCAGCAGACTGAACTGCTTACTGCTAATTCTTCAAACAGAAGATCCAGATTGGGATGTGCATCAGTAAACGTTACATACCAAACTTGATTAACTAGGCCAGTTAAAGATTTTGAGTTCTATTTGCACTGTTGTTATCCTGGGTTACTTTTTTTTTTATCCTTTAGCTTGTAGATGAAGCCAGATGGTCTTGATCATTTGTAGTTCAGTTTGTCAGGGCAAACCAAGAAATGGATGAATTTTTCTATATAACTTAATGGATGCATTCACACAATACACTTAAGCTTAAGTAGAGAACCTTGATTGTAAACAGATTAACAGTAAAATGATAGGTCTATATCAGTATGTTTGCTTGACCTATCCCTCTCAGTGAATGCAAGATGAACTTTGCCAGATCCTGTTTCCCACAGTGGCAAATCTGATGCTTTGTGAACATTTCCCAGCATGGCAGCACAGTAACCCTTTCAGATTGTTGTCTCCAAGCAACTGGGGTTGAAAGGTTTATTTATTTATAGTTTATTTATTAGAAGTATTTTTATACTCTTGCTTATTGCAAAGAATCTTGAAGTGGTTTATAAATCTGTCAAAACTTAAGATTTAAAAATCAAAATTAAAAGCAATTCCATCAAAAATTGCTAATGGCCGGAGAATGCCAACTTTAAAAAGTAAGCGTTTAAAAGATGCCTAAAGCACATTAGTGTTAGGTCAGATGTATTGCAGAGGAAAGGCCATGCCAAAGGAAAGCTATACTGCCAGAGACCATTGGAGGCTTCATTTAATTGTGCTGAATTTGTAAGATTGTACCGGTATTTAAAAAGCCATCTAGAGTAGGAATACACTAACTTCAATCTGTTTGATCTTTGTTCTATTTTACTGGAATTCAAGAAATGGTTGACCAGAGCCAGATGAAAAAGAGCTGAGCATATTTTGGTCATAAGAATTTACTTTCAATATTAAAACTGAAGTGAACTCTAAGCCCTTGAAGACAAAACCCCATAAATCTTAATCGAAAATAGTGCAGCATTACCACAAATGATGACATACATCCTACAAATGAACTAAGTCTTGCATGCACGAAATTTCTTTGTCTCGTCTTGAATCTACTGCTTAGTCATTCCATGATGCGACTAGAGAAAAAGAATCTGCTTATGAAGTTCCATGCATAATTTGATAAATTTCCTGTCATGCTCTCTTAATCATATTTTTTTCGTGCATACCTTTTCCATCTCTATATTTATCTACTATCTCTTTGGACAGCAGTGATTTTGATAGGGCAAAACCAATGTAGATGCAGGTAGTCCTCAACTTACAACCATTTGTTTAGCAATTGTTTGGAGATAGAACAGCACTAAAAAAATTGGTCCATGCATTTACATTTCCCACAGTCATGTGTACAAAATCTGAGCACTTGGTAACTGGCATATATTTAAGACAATTGCAGTATCTCAAGAGTCATGCAACTGCCATTTGCAATCTCTTCCCAGCCAGCTTCCAACAAGCAAAGTTAACAGGGGGAGCCAGATTCACTTAACAACTGCATTATTCACTTAACAACTGCAGTGATTCACTTAACGGTGGCAAAAAATGCGGTCATAAAATTGGGCCTGACTCACTTAACAACTATCTTGCTTAGCCGTGGAAATTCAGGTTCCAATTGTGGCAGTAAATCGAGGACCACTGGTTAAGGAGACAAGTCTTAGGGAAGGAGACCCTATTGAGATGGTCCATCCTAGGTAACTAATGACTTCGATTGGGTTTCAGAGAGAGTTTGGGAATGTTTCTTCTGGATATGGTAGGCCACTGTTTCTCAACCTTAGCCACTTTAAGATGTGTGGACTTCAACTCCCAGAATTCCCCTGCCAGCCATCTTAAAGCAGCCAAGATTGAGAAAACTGTGGTAGGTAACTTGACTAAGGCCTTGGCCTTTGCCCAAAGCAGGTCTGTGGACAAGGGCCTTGGATTAGATTTCATCTCTTCTTGTTCAGTGATCGATATAACTCTTTTTCTGAAGAATTTTAGATGATAAAATAGCAGAAGAAATGCTGTTGGAGAAAGACAAAGAACAAATCCAACCAAGCACATGTAAGAACCCAAACTCAACCCTGACCCGGCCAAGTGGCTATGGGTACTTGGTTCTTCTGGTGCCAGTGATTTCCATCTTTTCAGAACTGGTGTGTAGTTTGTGGTCCTTCTGAACTCACAGTTCCCCTGCTCCATGAACATCTAGCACCTGCCCTGTGGTCAAGAGAGCCTTTGGACAAATTCATCTGGTGCACCAACTGTTCTCCTTCCTGGACTGGAAATCTCTTCTCACAGTCTCTCATGCTTTGGTTCCTTGACACATGGACTACTGCGAAATTGGGGCTATATTTGAAGGTTTCGTGGAAGCTAAGCTGGACTAAAATGCAGCAATCTCGGCAGTTATGAGTAATTGCTTTGTTACTCATAAATCCATTATACCTCTGTTATGTGAGCTTTACTGATTACCAGTGAGTGCAATCTAAGGTACTAGTTATACCCTAGAGTCCTTCATTTCAAAGGGAATGGCTATTGAGGGACTGTCTATCTCCTCCTCACAGGGTGGATTTGATTTAAATCGAGTTGATTTAAATCACAATTTAAATCATGATTTAAATCACTAGTAAAAAGGCTTGATTTAAATCAACTCGATTTAAATCATAATTTTTAAAGAGTAACTGTCTTCTCTGCTACTCTTTTGACCCACTGTTGACTCACCGATAGTCCCAGTGTTGCAGAATATACAGCCTCATGCTACATAACTAAGCTCCATTTCATGCTGAATTTATGTATCTTAAATAGAAAACTATCTTACGATAGATTTTTACCCCAAAAGTTTCTTATTAAAATAAATTTGATAAAAATCAAAAAAATCCAATTTAAATCAAAAAGATCCAATTTAAATTTAAAAAAATCTGATTTTTTTAATTTTTTTAAAAAAATCATTGATTTTTATCCACCCTGCCTCCTCATGACTCTGCCTGTCCTATAATGGAGGGATCCTCAATCCCCCAGGCTGTGGCCCATTGGGAACCAGGCCACCGAAGCTGCAGGCGATTGCATGAAGCTTCATTTGCGCCTGTGCAGAATTAAGGATGCATGTGGAAAACCATTCCCCCCCCCATTGCCACTGAAACCACTGAGGTCACCGCTGCCAATCCATGGAACCAAAAAGGTTGGGGACCTTTGCTATAAATATCTAACTGTAATGTTGGAAGAGAAAGACTTGGAGGACTGGTTCAAGAGATGCTGCCAAGGGAATGCTCAGGTAAAAGACAGCATAGCCCGCAGGTGAAAATATGTAAGGCAAGAGGCTATGAGAAGACCCCAGTTCAGTGATGGCTAACCTTTTTGCCATCGTGTGCCAAAAGTGGGGGTCGCGTGGGGGGGTCGTGCACATGTGTGCCCATATCCATAATTCTATGTGCCCCGCCCCCCCACGCATATGTGCGCCAACTCCCTGCACTCCCCTTGCTTTTGGCATATGATGGCACAATGAGCCCAGTAGGCCTGTTTTTCACCCTCCCCAGGCTCCAGGGGCTTTCTAGGAGCCTGGGGAGGGCAAAAACGGCCTTCCCCATCCCCCTGGAAGCCCTCTGGAGGCCGGAAATGGCCCATTTGCTGACTTAAAGTCCCACTGAGCTCACGTGCCCACCGATATGGCTCCATGTGCCACCTGTGGTTCGCCATCACGGTCCTAGTTTCTCTGGCTATAAGGGAGACAGAGGAAGAATTGTACTTTCAAACTTACATAATTGTGTTAATATAGTTTTACAATAAAGTAGGATCCCCTCATCTGGTTGTGATTTCTATCTGGCTTATCCTGCAAGTATAAATCTTGCAAGCCTGAGAGTACAATTCTTGCCCTCTTCCCAATCTCCTTTACAACTTGAGAAACTAGGGAGGGTCTCTTCGAGCCTCTTGCCTTGCCCACTGCAGGTAACCCTCAACTTACAACAATTGAGTCCAGAAGTTCAGTTTTTTTGCCACAGTTAAACTGTAGTTGCTAAGTGAATTGTGTGATTGTTAAGTGAATCTGGTTTCCACCTCCATAACCTTGCTTGTCAGAAACAGGCTGGGAAGGTTACAAGTGATGATCACATGACTCTGGGACCATGCAACTGTCATAAATACATGCCCATTGCCAAAGTCCCAAATTTTGATCATGTAACTGTAGGGATGCTGCAATGGTTGTAAGTGCAAGGATTGGTCATAAGTCATTTATTTCAGTGCCATTCTAACTTCAAACAGTCGCTAAACAAATGGTTATAAGACAAGGACTACCTATACAGAGATGAACAAAAAGGCTTCAATCAATGGTACAATCAAAGTTCTTCCCATTTTTGTGTGGCACACAGATGAAGAGAAGGCAGGAGTTTGATTGCATTATCATGGCTGCCATCTTGACTTTTTTGACCATCCTGCATAAACATATATTCCAAGAACGGCCTTCCTGGGCAAGACAATGACTGAGAACCATTCATGGCAAATAAAATTAAGCTATTCTTTTATTTCCATGAGAAAGTCCAGAAACAAGTGACTAAGATGCATAGTCAAAATTCTTTTTTCCTCCCCAACAGCTTCACCTGGACTGATGCTCGCTTGAACCGCCACCTGGTCACTCGCCTTACAGGAGAAGTGATCGAAGCATTTGACCAGGAATTTCGCACTTTGTACGCGGCTTCCTGCCCCCTGCCAGCCCTGGAGACACCCCCTCACCTCCAGCTTGCTTCTGTGGCACCGCTACCTAGCACCAACGAGCCAGATGTGGCTCCATACATCAGTGTGTTGGATGGGGTGCAGCTGTCCCACCGAATTGCAGAGCGACGCTCAGTGGCCCCCCAACCTGTGGCCAAGAGCCGAGCAGGTGAGTGGGAACTTGTGTTAGCTTCACCGGCTACTGCTGAAGATCCCATGTTGCCTGCTTCTCCTCCCAAAGCATCTCTCCGAAATCGACTTGCAGCATGGCGAGGTGTGGACCATTCTGGAGGGGGCCAACAGGGATCTCCTGATGGGCCCAGCGCTCTTAGTGATATCTACAGGAACGTCCAACGAAATCGACTCTCTGCTGCCAAGACTACTGGGGCCCGCCCTAGTAAATCCTTATGGGACCTCAGCCGTTTAAGCCAGCTGTCTGGGTCCAGCACAACAGGCTGGGGACGAAACGGTATAGACTCTGCTGAGGAAGCTAAAGTAAGTAATGCCAATTTTTTTCCCCCTAAGGCTACAAATATTTTCATCAGATAATCTAGCCTGCAATGAGGCAACTGCATTCAACCTTGTACCAGGGGTGAAATTCAGCAGGTTCTAACAGGTTCTGGAGAACCGGTAATGGAAATTTTGAACAGTTCGGAGAATCGGCAAATACCATCTCTGGCTGGCCCCAGAGTGGGGTGGGAATGGTGATTTTGCAATATCCTTCCCCCAGAGTGGGGAGGGAATGGAGGTTTTACAGTATCCTTCCCCCAGGAGTTGGGAGGGAATGGAGATTTTGTAGTATCCTTCCCCTGTCACGCCCACCAAGCCACACCCATAGAACCGGTAGTAAAAAAAATTGAACTCCATCACTGCCCTAGCATGCTCTATCAACCCAGCATGGCTGGCTAGGGAATTCTGGGAGTCGAAGTCCACACATCTTAAAGTGGCCAAGGTTGAGAAACACTGTGGTAGGCAATTTGACTAAGTCCTTGGTCTTTTCCCAAAACAGGTCTGTGACAAGGGCCTTGGATTAGTTTCTTGCTCTGCAGAAACACATCTTCCAATAATGGGATTCCTGGGCAAGGCAATGACTGAGAAGCATTCTCAGTAAATAAAATTAAGCTATTCTTGCATTTCCACGAGAAAGTTCAGAAACTGGAGTGGCAAATATGTTCACTAAATAGCCTGCAATGAGGAAACTGCATTCAACCCTGTGCCCTCTCTCAACCAAGGTTGTAATTCAATGTCTCTCAACCTTAGCAACTTTAAGATGGGTGGACTTCAACTCCTATAATCCTCAGAATTGAAGTCCACCCATCTTAAAGATGCCAAGGTTGCTAAATATTGCTGTACTCAGCTTAAACCAGTATTTTTCAAACTTGACAACCAAAATACGTGGACCTCAATTCTGGAAACTGAAATCCACAGGTCTTAAAATTGCTAGATTTTAGAAACATTGGTTTAAACTGTAGTCAGTTCAGTGGTTGTTGCAAACCAGAAACTTGGGTAGCATAAAGTCTGGTTAGACTGTTACCGTGTTTCCCCGACCCCAAAAATAAGACCCTGTTTTATATTTTTTTTAACCTGAAATAAGCGCTTGGCCTTATTGCCATGCTCTCAAAACCCCGATTGGGCTTATTATCAGGGGATGTGTTATTTTGGGGGAAATAGGGTATGTAAAGGAATGGTGGCTTGACAGCTTGGCAGCTCCCCCTGAGTTGTACAAGTGAAGCCAGCAGGGGTGAAATGAATACAATCTCATTTCTTTCCACCTTTTTAGAGTGCAAAGTGCCATCCATTTCTCTTTTTATTCTTTCCATCTTGGGTAAAATCAGGGTGAGCCATTTATGCTGTCATTGTTTTTGAATCGGCAAAAGTGAAAATGATGACAACTTGTCTTCCAACTGTTTTATCAAGGATAGCGAAGTGAAAATAGGAACAATTTGGTTTAATTACCATAAGATAAAGGTAAAGGTAAAGGTTCTCCTTGCACATATGTGCTAGTCGTTCCCATCTCTAGGGGGCGGTGCTCATCTCCGTTTCAAAGCCGAAGAGCCAGCGCTGTCCAAAGACATCTCCATGGTCATGTGGCCAGCATGACTAAATGCCAAAGGTGCACAGAACGCTGTTACCTTCCCACCAAAGGTGGTCCCTATTTTTTCTACTTGCATTTTTTATGTGCTTTCGAACTGCTAGGTTGGCAGAAGCTGGGACAAGTAACGGGAGCTCACCCCGTTACGTGGCACTAGGGATTCGAACCGCTGAACTGCCGACCTTTCGATCGACAAGCTCAGCGTCTTAGCCACTGAGCCACCACTGTTTCCTAAAGGTGCTTTTCAAAAGGTAACTGGGCTTTTTTGGGTTTTTCCTTGAAAACCTTTCTTCTCATCCAAGTATCTTCTTCAGTTCTGAGTGAGAATTGTGGAAGCTTTTTGGAAGAGAAGTGAAACGTTTTCAAGGAAAAAAACCAAAAAAGTCTAGTTGCTTTTCAAAAAGCACCTTTGGGACTACCATGATCATCCAGATCATGGACACTGCCCTTTGGGACTAAAGTTTAGTTTGAGTAACTAAACCAAATTGTCCCTGGCCCCATTTCCACTTCACAATCTTCACTAAAGCAGTTGGAAGACAAGTTGTCATCATTTTCACTTATGCCGATTCAAAAACAATGACAGCATAAATGGCTCACCCTGATTTTACCCAAGGGGGAAAGAATAAAAAGAGAAGCGGATGGCACTTTGCACTCTGAAAAGGTGGAAAGAAACGAGATTGTATTCATTTCACCCCTGCTGGCTTCACTTGTACAACTCAGGGGGAGCTCCCAAGCTGTCAAGCTACCATTCCATACACTTATACTGTGCAAACTTATTCATTGCAGACTGGAAATCATGGCACTAACATGTTATATGCATGCTGAATTATGATTTATAACCATACATTAGATAAGTGAATATAGCCACTGTCTTACCTTTTTGTTCACAAGCCAATGTGATGAAATATGGGGGAGGGGGGGAAATAATGGGAATCTTTTCATCAATCCTGGGTTGCAATCCTAGAACAGAATCCTAGGTTGCATTAACAGAGGGATTGAATAAAGATCAGGTGAAGTATTACTACCGCTTTATAAAGCCTTAGTAAGACCACACTTGGAATACTGCATCCAGTTTTGGTCATCACATTATAAAAAAAGATGTTGAGACTCTGGAAAGAGTGCAGAGAAGAGCAACAGAGATGATTAGGGGCCTGGAGGCTAAGACGTATGAAAAACGGTTGCAGGAATTGGGTATATCTAGTCTAGTGAACATCTGCCAACCTAGCAGTTCAAAAGCATGTAAAAATGCAAGTAGAAAAATAGGGACCACTTTGGTGGGAAGGTAACAGCGCTCCATGAGCCTTCGGCGTTGAGTCATGCTGGCCACATGGCCATGGAATTGTCATCAGACAGCGCTGGCTCTTCAGTTTAGAAACAGAGATGAGCACCACCCTTGAACTGGAAACGACTAGCACACATGTGTGGGGGAACTTTTACCTTTACCTAGTCTAGTGAAAAGGATTAGAGATGACATGATAGCAGTCTTCCAATGTCTAAGAAGAGGGGGGGGTCAACCTATTCTCCAAAGCACCTGAGGGCACATCAAGAAGAGGCGGGGGGGTAGCGGTTATTATTAAAGAACGTCTTAGACCGAGGGAGGCCACTGTTCCTCAGACGGCTGGCTGTGAGTCCCTCCTTGTGAAGTGGGGTCATGGGGTACTGATTGGTTTGCTGATCACATACCTGGCTCCCTGCCACGTGGCAGCAGCCCTGCCCGAGCTACTTAACGTCATCGCCGCAGTGGCGGTTGACACCCCTAGACTTATGGTCATGGGGGATTTCAACCTGCCGTCCATGGGTGAGACGTCTGAGGTGGCTCGAGAGTTCATGGCTTCCATGACAGCTATGGACCTGACTCAGTTAATTCATGGCCCTACCCACACGGGGGGAAACACGCTGGACCTGGTTTTTGTCTCTGGACAGTGGTTGAGTGATCCTGAGATAGGGGATATAGTCATCGAGCCCTTGTCATGGTCAGACCACTCTCTCCTTCACCTTGACCTTCGAACCGCTGCACCCCGCCGCAGGGAGGCGGAGCCGGTAAGATGGTTCTGCCCCAGGCGTCTGATGGAGCCTGACAGGTTCCAGATGGAGCTTGGGCCATTCCCTGAGGCTCTGGCACACGCCTCGTCTGGAGACCTAGTGGCCGCCTGGGATAGGGCGGATGCTGGAGCTCTGGATCGGGTCATGCCTTTGTGGCCTCTGACCCGGCACCGATCTCATCTGGCTCCTTGGTTTACTGAGGAGCTAAGGGAGATGAAGTGCCAGAAAAGATGCCTAGAGAGCAGTTGGAGGGCCAGCCTTTCTGAATCCGACCGGACACTGGTAAGATCTTATATTAAGAATTACCTAGTGGCGATAAAAGCAGCAAAATATAATTATATTGCTGCTCTTCTTGCGTCATCAGATAACCACCCAGCTGCCCTGTTTAGGGTGACCCGCTCCCTTCCCCACCAGGGAGTGCGGGAGGACCCCTTGGAGGGTAGAGCTGAGGACTTTGTACAGTATCTGTATGACAAAATCACTCAGATTTGGGAAGACCTGGATTCCGACTGGGTAGTTTCAGGGGGGATGACTGAGGCAGGTCTTCAGAATATTATCTGGGATGAATTTGATCCTGTGACTCCTGATGATGTGGACAGGATTCTGGGTAGACTGAACGCGACCACATGTTTGTTGGACCCGTGTCCCTCCTGGTTAGTGCTGGCTTCTTGGGAGGTGACGCGAGGCTGGCTCCAGGAGATTATAAATGCTTCATTGGGTGAGGGTGACTTCCCTGCCACCTTGAAAGAGGTGGTGGTTCGGCCTCTCCTCAAGAAGCCTTCCCTGGACCCGGCAGTGTTGTCAAATTTTCATCCAGTCTCCAACCTTCGCTTTGTGGCGAAGGTTGTTGAGAGTGTGGTTGCGCGACAGCTCCCCCAGCACCTGGATGAAACAACGTATCTGGATCCATTCCAGTCGGGCTTCACGCCTGGGTACAGCATGGAAACGGCATTGGTCGCGTTGGTTGATGATCTCTGGAGGGCTCGGGACAGGGATTGCTCCTCTGTCCTGGTCCTATTAGATCTCTCAGTGGCTTTTGATACCATCGACCATGTTATCATGCTGCACCGGTTGGAAGAATTAGGGGTGGGGAGTACTGTGTTGCGGTGGTTCTCCTCCTTTCTCTCCGACTGGTTGCAGTCTGTGTTGGCAGGGGGGCAGAGGTCAACCCCAAGGCCCCTCATATGTGGGGTGCCACAAGGGTCAGTCCTCTCGTCGCTTTTGTTCAACATTTATGTAAAGCCCCTGGGCGAGATCATCCGTGGTTTCGGGGTGAAGTACCACCAGTACGCTGATGACACTCAGCTGTACATCTCCACCCCAGACCACCCCAACGATGCCCTTGAAGTGATGTCCCGGT